CCTACTCCATAAGTACAGAAAATTGGCAAACATGGGTTAGGCCAGTTGGTCAAGGCAATGTACCTACCTCCCTTATACTCGAGTTTCATCTCCCTCCCTCGTAGATTAGAGTAATTTAGAGTAGTATCAATTGTATATAAAAAAAATTAAACATGTGAAATTAAACAAATAAGATAACAAGAATATACAAACATAATACATATATGAAAACAAAAATGTCAATGCAGTAGCATGCTTGAACACCATGGTACCTAACTTTTCCCGGTGCTACTCAAAAAACCCTTTGTGAACCCTTATTATACAAAAATAACATGAGTAAAGAACTAAAGGCTTAAGATTTTTAACCCAAAAAAAAAAACAAAGGAAGAAATGAGTCTTACATCTTTGAAATCTTGATGGGTAGAAAATCCATGCTCTAACATGGTTGCTGCAACATATATTGCCATATGTATTTTGTTAGCAAATCTGTGTATAGCATCCGTCAAGCTCATGCCTCCTACACTGTGTCCCACAAGTACTACCTTTAGCATAGCAAACATTATTAATTAATCCCCCAAAAACTAAATCAACATAACATAATCAGCCTAATTAAGCAAGATTAATTAGGGTAAACTCACCTTTTCATCCAATGGCAAATTGGACAAGAAGTTAATGAGAGGCTTGTTATAGTCTTGGAAAGTGAGGATGGTGTTAGGGTCAGACTGGTCAATGCCGGCACCTTTTAGGTCAAGGCATGTCACTTTGTAGCCTGATGCTTCCAAGAGACATCTGATCTTGTACCAGCACCAAGCTCCATGCCCTATGCCATGGATCAGAACCAAGTGATGCTGCTGCCGATGATGATGATGATGAGGGTATTTTGGTAACATTTCACTCTTTGTATGCTCTTTCTCTTCTTCCACTCTTCCTCCTGACATAGAGGATAGAACTTCAGTTTTGTTTTAGTTTCCTCTGGCCTTACCTTATCATATGTGATGATATGGTACATGTGATTTGAGGTGATTTACTTACGTAGGAAGTTAACTAGTTGCTCTCCAACTGAGTTGCGTCACCAAGTAGCTATGCAACAAAAATGTCCTACGTTGGAGACAGGCCTGTGGATAATGTTTCTTACTAATTCGTGTGTCTTTCTTTCTGATATGTCTCTTCGTTTGATGCATACATTACATACCTAAGATAGTTAGAGACATTTCCAATCAAACCAAAATGTGATAGCAGAAGATAAGGTTTTCCCTTATTTCTTCTTTGAGCAAAGAGGATAGGGCAACAAAATCGACCCGACCTAACTACCCACAATCACATTATGACTTATAAGTAATTAAGGCACTCAAAATGTTATTTGAGAATGTTATTTTTCTTGTTCTTCTTATCTTAACCTAGTAATCAATACTTGTGGACTAAGTTAAGTATTGTATGTCTTAATCGTGTTAAGACGCTTATCATGTTTTTGTTCATGACAAACACTAATCATATCATAAAAGTTAAACGTAACACTGAAAACACCAACTTATTACATCAATTTTGAAAACTAACTAATGTGGTAGTACTAGTAGTTGGTTTATTTTCATTGCGAGCCCACTCTAGATCTTCCTCTTTTTCACAACAAATAAAAAAAGATGTCATATCAATTGATGTGTCAAAATTGGTGCTTGTAGTATTATTGAATTGTTAATAGGATGACAAAAGCTCTCAAGAGTAAGTAAAATCTGTAGGTTTTACTCTAACAACATGATAATATCTTCGAAGTAAGTGAAATCAGATACAAACACAAGAAGATTTGTCCCATCAATTCATAAATCAAAGTTGCAATTTACAATGATGAAGGTAATAGCATAGATAAGTAAAGTCAGCCATTGAGTAAAGATGGAGATGACAAGTGAGTACACATCGATATGGACCAAAAAATTTAATTTTGGATGTTAATGTAGGGGAAATGAATTTCTTTGGCGGTGAAATCATTTATCAGAAAAAACAGTAAAGATAGGAGTGATATTTTGATAAGTCTATGTCGACTAGAAAATTATTGACCTAAATAAATAAATAAATAATAATAATAATAATAATGAAAATGAACGGCAGATATAGCCCAACTATATGCACAAACGTTACAAGCTCACATGCTTGTGCCTGCCTCTTGAAACTTGGTCAATTGATTGGAAGAGTGCTGAGATTGACATCCACCCATGATTTTGTTGTCAAATACGAAATTTTCAAATCAATGAAATTAAATATGAAAATGAGTATTTTTGACTTTGTTGAATTTCTATTTCTATACTATTCCTAATCTCGGCTCCATTTGAGAGCTCAAGAAGCAAACAAGATCAAGGCAAAAAAGTTGTCTTTCTTTCCCATTTCTGAACTTTGTCGAGTGGAGCCTCAAGGCCCATTTCCCAATTCCCAAACACCCACCGCTCGCTCTCTCTCTCTCTCTCTCAGCCTTCAGGTGGGTGCAGTTATCACCACAGGGATCTGTCTTCTCTCCCTCTCTCTCTTCAGTCTGCAATAGCAAAGATCAAAGGTAAGCTTTTCAATGACTTTTCCATTTGGGTTTTTGATTTTGTTCATAAAGATGACTGCTTTATGTGATTCTGCTGCTGGTTTGATGATTTGTGGATGACTGTATGTGTACATGCGATGCTAGCGTAATTAGCATATCTTCATTTCTTGAAATTTTTGAAATCTTCATGCTCATATAGACTGATAATCAAGCAATAAAACTACCCCCTTCTTAGTTTGGATTTCAAATTCCCTTGTACTTTTCAGAAACAAGAAAATTTTCTATTGCTGGACATAAGATTTTTGTAAATTCTTTTTGCGTAAATAAAGAATTTTTATAATTGAGTAATTATTGTATGATTGTAATAATGGCTCACTCGCTTACTCTCTCACTCTTCCATCTACCAAATTCACTCCCTTTGGAATGGAAGGTGAGGTGAGGGCTGTGGTGTGGTGTGGGGTAATTAGCCTGGAAAGTCTTTGTTCCGACAGATGTACTACACTCAATTCCCGCGGATTCAGATTCAGATTTTTTTTCATACCTTTTCTTGTTTTTGTGGTTAATTATATCCTCCCAGCTTTTCATGTGCGTGCCTTCACGCACTCTCTAGATTCTAGAATGTGGGCTAGTTAATCTTGGACAATTTGGGCCCATAAAACAATTTGGCGACCCAAAGTTCCCAAACTGATTGGCCCAGTTTCTAACTCTGTAGGCCCAACTGGACTATGGGCAGCAATGCTTAATAATTTTTTTTTTTTATGAGTCAGTGTTTATAATCATTTGTCATTGTTATTTCATTTTATTCTTCAACTTACTTTTCAGTGAAATATCTATGTTTGTGAAGTGTGTAAATGCTGACTTATAATGGTAAAGATTATTTGTTAGAGCAGGAACATTATTAGAAATGATTATTAGATTACAATGTTATGCAATCAATGTGAATACTATAGTGTTGAGATTCTTGAGACCTTTGTTGTGGACCTGTGGTTGTTAGTAGTTGGAAAGTGAGATGATTGTTCATCCACATTTTATTAGATAAACTAAGGGCCCTTTGGTATTAGGATTGAGAAACCGTTTTTCATTCCCAGAAAGAAAGAATCATTTTCAAACACTGGAATAGTGTTTGGTAGCCTATTTTGAACATCAGAAATCCGGAAACTATCTCAAAAACAGGGTGTTTCCGAAAACGATAAATCATCGTTTTCTGCTACCTGTTTTCTAGTTTCAACAGAGCAATTCCCAAGAAAAATATCAAATTTCAAGATAAATTTCTATAACAAAAATATCATGATCATACTATAAAATCTGTAAAAGCCTGTAAAATTGTATTTTTTTATATTACTATTATTGAATGATGTATTGGACATAATAAATCTGAACAAATATGTTATCAGAAAACTAATCTGTTTGTCTGCTTTGGACACAGGTTATCTATCAAAGGTATCAACTTGAAGTTTCAACCATACTAGCAAATGGCTACTTCCTTGGTAAGAAACGAAACTCCAGCAAACACCTTGGGTACACGAGTAAATAGTTTTGCTAATTTATCAGTTTCTAATATCTGTTACTTTGGTAATTTTGAGTCCAATTTTGTTTATAAAGATTGTTAATGAACTACTGTGTCACGAGCTTCACTCCAAAAGATACTGTTTTTTATGTTTTTTACATTTTTTGCTATAAATTTTTTGTCTATTATTTTTGTTGGCTCCTGAATTTGAGTTTGGTCAAATTATAATGGTGAGTCGGATAATGGTACGTGCAGAAATATAAAAGGAGATAGGGATTGTGGTGTAGGAAAGGATAATATTAGCTGTACATGTCATTGTGGTGATTTTCATCTAATAATATATGGAAACTCAATGGAGTGGTCAAATTTTAGACAAGATATTCTAGCATCACTAAAGTTCAGTGTTGAATGAATAAGTTGCTTCTTTAGGGTATTTCTTCCTGCATTGTCTGGTTTGCATTGAAACTCTTAAGTAACTGCTGGTCTTGCTTTCCTGTCAGGTACAGTACAATAAGACTATGAAAAGGACAGAATCAAGAAAGTCTCATTCCTGGTGGTGGGATAGTCACATTAGTCCCAAAAACTCTAAATGGCTTCCAGAGAATCTCGAGGGTGAGCAACAAACACCTCTTTCGGTCTTATTTGTAAGTGTCTTTATTATAAATAGAAAAGAAGAAGAAGAAAAAATTGCATGTGACAAAGGCTTAGGAAAGAGATGGTCCAGTGAGGACTTTCTTCCTGGATCATCTTTGTATATATCTAGTTGCTGCTTCTCATAGAAAAGGAAAAATATCTTGCCTAGATTACATAGCAGTAATCCGTTTATAAGATTTTATTCAGTTTGACCTAGCTACATTCAAGCATTATTTGGTTCTTTTGACTTATTTACAAGAAATTCTGGGTTAGTCAGATTTGTTTTACTATTTTGGCCTAATTTTTTTTCTTTCTCATTTTTCATCTTCTTGTCCGGTATGCAAAAGTATGAGTTAGAAGTTAATTGTTGAGAAGAAACATCTTTTGTTATGTTCTTCAACAATATCTGGTGCCTTAAACCGGAGATGTGGGATAAAATTTCAGTAGCAAAGGTTTCTTGTTCCACATTCTAAATGAGGGCAAACTTAAAATGGGTAAAGTGGACAGCGGTTATATAATTTTAGATGCTTCTCCTGATCTAATGGCACAGGGGTTATTCAACCCCAACTGCCAACTTGTGGAGGAAGTTGGTTTTCCAAAATTATGCATGTTTAAATATCTAAAAAGTTTATTTTTATTTTGGTCAAAGTTCTAAAATGTTGAATGCTGTAGTCAATTTTTCACCAAAATGCCTATCAAGAAAATGACAAAACGATCCTTCACCACAGAGATGGATCGGAGCATCAAGCGGATGTTGAAGCTGATTGAAGAGGATGGGGATTCATTTGCGAAAAAAGCCGAAATGTATTATCAAAAGAGGCCTGAATTGATTGCTCATGTTGAAGAATTTTATCGCTTGTACCGGTCCCTGGCTGAACGCTATGATCATGTGACAGGAGAGCTGCGGAAGAATGTGACCTTGGATCTCCAATCCCAGAGTTCATGCCTTTCTGACATTGGTTCAGAACTGCCATCTGCATGGCCGTCTCCTGACGTACAACCCCAAAGGCTCGGTCGTCGGAGATCTGGCCCTCGTGCTGCTGGCTTTGATTTCTTCCTTGGCCCTGGTGTAAGCAGCTCGGATAATTACCAGAAAGAGGGAGACGAATCATCTTCATTAACCGATTCCGAGCCAGAATCTGATGATTCGTCAGTCAATAATTATTCAACTCCCTTAGGAAATGGTGGTGATCATGGGCAGATGAGAAAGATAATTGAATTGGAAATTGACCTTCGTGAAGTGAAGGAGAAGCTCCGGATGCAACAGGAAGATAATACAGATAGTTCATTCACAGGTTCAAAAACTGATCATTCTGAAGGATTTTCTGCAAAAATTGCAGAATATGAGCAAGAGCTGACAACTGCAAATGAAAAATTACGGAACTCAGAAGAAGAGATTGCCAGGTTGAACATCAAGCTCAAAAGGTACGAGTCCTCAGAACTTAATAATGGTTTTGATGCTGCACTTGAAACATCAAAACAGAAAGAGGCCAAGAGGGATGAGGGTGAGCAAGACATCAAGATAAATGAAATGTCAGAGGTTCATAAAAGTGTTGGTGGGCCGGAAGAAGTTAAAGACCGAGATAGCAAGATGGAGGCATTGATGAAAGAGCTTAAAATCACGAAAGATAGACTTCAGATATCAGAGAAAGAGATTGCAAGTTTGAGACATCAACTTGAGAGTAATAAAGCCTCTGAGGAAATCCAGCGGTTGCAAGGTCAGCTTGAATCCGCTAACAAGGATATTTCCATGTGGAGAGCAAAGCTCAACTCAGAGAAAAGAGAGGTGTCCAAGCTGCAGGAACGAATTACAAGGTTAAAAAGTAGTTTATCAGACCGGGATCATGAGGTCATGGATTTGAAAATAGCAGTATCTGATGCTGAGGAGAAGATTTTCCCAGAAAAGTCACAGGTTAAGGCTGAAATATCCCGATTGCAATCAGAACAGACACACTTAGAGGACCAGCTTAGAGACTGGGAATCTCGTGGCCGGTTGTTGGAGGATGAAATCAGACAGATGAAGTCTGGAAAAACAGAAATGGAGGAGAGACTTAATGGAAAAATCGAGCAGTTAAAGGAAGACATCCTTGAGAGAAGCAATCAAATGGAGAATTTAAACACGACCCTTGATGCTATGAAAATAGAAAGAGATGAGCTTAATACCAAAGTAGTAACACTTAAAGCAGAGGCGAGTTCTCGAGATGATCAGATCAATGAGATGGACAAGAATTTGCAACAAATACAAACAGAACATCAAGAACTGCTCGACGGGGCTGAAGGGGCACATAAACTGGTGGAGGAGCTGACAGCAAGAGCGAAAGAACTCGAGGAGGAGATTCAGAGGCAAAGAGTTACGATTATGGAAGGAGCAGAAGAAAAAAGAGAAGTTATAAGGCAGCTGTGCTTCTCTCTTGAACATTATAGAAATGGATACCATAGACTCCGACAGGCTTGCATGGGGAACAAGCAGCGAGTTCCAGTTTTGGCATCTTAAGCTAGATATAAATTATGTGATCATAGTTTGTAAAATACATGTTATTTGAGTGCCTGTTTCTCTATGTAGGTTGGAAATTAAATCCCCCAGCCTAGTGTTGTGCTGTAGACCATGCTCCCATGGTTATATTGATGGTTTGTGTAGAGTATGCAGATATAGATGCAGGAGGGTCCTATCTAAGGGCCATTTGAGTCACTGGCTTGCCCTCAAAAGGTGGGTGGAGAGAGGGCAAAAAAGTATGTGAGTTTGGTGTTTTGGGTTGGATTGGCGCAATTGAACTTTGTGTTTTGCAAACTTTTTCTGACACATATATTCCAAAGTGTTGCTCATTCAAAATGTTGGCCTTCATTAACTATTGGCATTTAGCGAAGTGAAAATAAAAAATGAAAGATATTTCCGCGCCAGGAAGGGGTCGAACCTTCGACTTTCTGCTTAGGAAACAGACGCTCTATCCACTGAGCTACAGGCGCTTGTTGTTATACATAAACCTAAAATTATTTAAATATGCTTCTATTGCCTATTTTGAGGATAATGTCACCCTTTCCGAGGCAAGAGAGAAAATGTCCAGACATTCCTGATATTCTTATATATATAGAAAACTAGAAAATCAAATAATCCCACAAAGATTCTTTTGTGTATTTCCCATGAGGAAGACTAATATATTAATTTCTCTTTCCTTTGTTTAGAAATGAAATAATAAAAAATAGTGAAAATATGTGCAAACATTTCTCCTCAGTGCCAACAAAATATCCAAGGGTATGTCTGTAAAGGAAGTTGAGTTCAAAGTATAGAAGACATCATAATTTAGTCACATATTTTTCTCCATTTTGTTTACATGACTAGGTGTATAAAATCATGTTTATACCCACACAAAAATAAAAAAGATTGTAGAAAACAATATGATTCTCTTATAATATTTCTTCTATATATTTCCGTTTAAATTCTAATACTCTCCGTCTCATGTGGGAAAAAATACTTAGTTGCAACTTGCAACGGGGATAACATTATTTTGCTAAGCAGTGCACGTAGAAGTGTTATCACATGTGTCATGGCGTTGTAGACTGGGAATAGCAAAATAGTGCTATTCCCATCTCATGAAAATCCTTCTCTTCATGTGGATCTCTCTTTGGTAGTCTTTCTACTACCAAAGAGCTGAACCCAGGAAATTCAATATAGATTGAAAGCACATTTGACCCTGGGCTAATAATAATACTATGATGAAGCTGGTATATCTCATTTCAAGATAATTAACCAAACCCAAATCAATAACACAAGATGGGATAAGTTGAAGGTAAAAATTCTCCCATGAAACCTTCCAAGACTTCACCAAATTTAACGCCTTTGATTTTTCGTAGAGTTCTAGCTGGTTTGAACAAGCTGTAGAAATCTTGAGCACAACGATGTGAAGAAATTGAAGAGCTAAACTGGGACTTGCATTAATATCACAAGGCAAATGGGAAAGAAAATGTTTCAACAAAACAGATTCATAATCTGTTCTGTTAGCTTACAAAACAAGCAATTATTGAAACAGATGGAAATTAGAATCTCCTTAAATTGAAGATGAAAAATGCTTTTGTTGTGTGAATCCTCCCCAGATCCAGCTTCTTCAAATTACTGGCCTTCATTTGTCACAGGCTTCTCCAAAAATGTCTTCTTTATCCAATCAAATGGCTGTTTCATGTTTTGTATGAAGAAAAAGGAAAGCATTAGAATTATACAATAAAATAAAGCAGCTTTCAATATTTCTTCATTTCCGCATAATTTTTACTTCAAATTTTCATATTTATTGCAATCAATCAACCTATGGCTTGTCGAAAAAAAATTTGATAAATAATTACAGGGATGATAAAATCTGAAGTAAAAACTGAAAGAGAAAGGGGGAACCTGGATGAACCAAAGAGCGCCGGTGCCGGCGGCGACGCCCCACATAGCGACCGCTTTTACATCGGAGGATTGAGGCCTCGGAAGCTTCGAGAAACGTGACGATTGCGCTGCGATTCCCCCTGCCATTTTCAGATCTCAATTTGCAAAAAGGCAGAGAGCTCAAAACCTCAACCCAATCAAGTCAATAGCAACTTTGACTTTCAACAAAATTTGGCAGCTGCGTTTGAGGTCACTTTGAATTTTATTGGGAGTGTCTTAACGCAACTCTCGTTTATTCGTTTCTCAAATATAATATAAAATTGCACCTCTTTTTTCTCTTTCTTTTCTTTTTCTTACATTTTTTTTCCTTTTCTCTCAGTTAGGAAATTACAAGAACAAAATTTTAAAAATATTACAAACCAACCAGAATGTTAAATTCTCTTTTGTGATTATGGTGTATAATCACAAATTGGCAATCAAGAATGCAGCTGTTTTCGTTTATAAGGGTCATTGTAAAAGGTATGAGTTCCAACGGATTTTTCAATTAAATTGGACAAGTGTCATGATCATTATTTAGTGGACTTTTAAATATTGAGACCTAGGCTAACAGGGTCTAACCCAATAGGCAAAATGCCTCGACTTCCGGACTAGTAGTTTCAAGTTCGAACCTTCGTGGCACCACTCCAACATCTTACAAGTCTCGTTTAAAAAGGTGAGACTCATAAGGACGGGTGGACCCAATTCAAATACAATCCAAGCCGAGCCACCACATTAGAGGATTTTGAAAAATTAAGTTGGTCCCTTTTCTCCTTTTGCCTGAAACATTGAGTTTGGTCTTGCAATGGCATTTGATGCTTAACCTTAGAATGACATTTTCTGAACATACGTCTGGGTCTAAAAAGCAAAACCAAGTCATCACGATGAAGCGTCTCGAATTTGCAAATTATTGCCGCAGGGAGGCACAGATTGCACCTGTGAATGTTAGGCACAGGATAGGAGTAAAAGAGTGTCAAGTTATATATGCCTTTCGGAAGCCATTATCAGTCCAAAGTATTTCATTCCACTACAAACTTCTCAAGTCAACTTCATTTTTAAGATGTACAATGCAAAACCTATGAGCCAACCCTAAGCATCAAATCCTTAGTCCTTGGTACAGATTCTAGGTACATTAACGATATAAAACGACAGACCTGAAAAGTGGACAACTTACAAGGAACTAATTGTATTCAACACCTTTGCAGTCCAAGCCTCAAGTCAGAAGTAACATGCCTATAGATGAACTTTACCAAACTTGCAAGACAAGCATGCATAAACAGCACAGGCACATTTACAGCTGACACAGGCCACAAGGTGCGGGTGGGACAGAGGAAGGGAGAGAGAGAGGTGGGGGACTTCTACTCTGGCTTCCACACAGCGTACATCTTACCAACCTCACGATCTTGAAGCCCCAAGCACGACTCGCTGCTTCTAATTAAAGAGGCACTGAAGGTCATTAGTCGTCCCAAGCACTATCTGCAGCACCTTCTCTTTTACTGTTGGAATCAGCAATCATGAACCTATACTTGTCCTCAATGTTTACGGATGTGGGTCCCGTTATTGAGCACTTTGAAAGAGCAACCCTAGCTTGCTTTTGAGCAGCTGCTGCTTCTCTCTCTTTCCTTCTTGCAGTCTGATAGTTAATAGCAGAAATTGTCAAGGTTTACAAATGCAAGAAATAAATTAATCTCTTCTTTCTCCCAAGATTATCTAGAAATGATCAAGAAAGGCTAGGCGCTAGTACGACGCCAAAGAATTGACCGCTGATAGGTTATCTAAGAATCTGTACCTTTCCAGTTGCAAAAGCCACAGCATTTCCAGATCCAACATCTGCAATTGCTTTCTTTATATTTGCCACAAGGAACTACAGTGTGCCATCAAGAATCAAGAATGAAGAGTTATATTCTGCCAATGGAAGAGCTCATAAGTAAAAGAAGCAGTAAGAGAAGGTGGAAAATAAGGTACCATATCACGATCAGTGTAAAAGGAAGTAGCTTGTCCCATTGATCCTGCTCTTCCTGTCCTTCCAATCCGGTGTACATAATCTTCCATGCTCTATATTGAGGTAGCCATAACTGAAGCTTCAGGTTTGCTATTTCACAACAAAATTAATAGCAACTGAAAAGACCAAGCTAATGAGATGCTATCACATGATAGCAGAAAGACTTAATGATCATAGTTGAGATTGATTTTATGCTATTCAAATTCCAAAGATCACCACCTATTAGATCACCTATTCCAAATATCACAAGTTGACTCATTCAGAAGAATTGCCAAATTTATTGCCATTTTTCAGATAATCTTCTAGGTTGGATAAGTGGATTCCAGATATAACCCAACCAACAGGCCTTTTAATTGCAACCAGGTATACCTTTGGAAGATCCAAATTAATAACATGAGCAACTCCTGAGACATCCAAACCACGAGATGCAACATCAGTGGCGACCTGCACACAAGGCCTCAATAAGGTACATGGATGGCAATCTTAAAAGCTTCCTTATATTCAAGCAGAATCAGACAAGTATAAACAGACAAAAATGAAAATGTGAAATCAATAGAGGACAAGTAGCATCAATTCTCTCTAGCAACATTGAGGATGTACCAAAATATTGGTAGTGCCTTTTCTAAATTCACGTAGAGCAGCCTCTCTTTCACCCTGAGTACGACCACCATGAAGAGCAACTGCATGCAACCCTTGTGCTACCAAGGCATCAGCAACTTCGTCACATCTCGTCTGCATGCACGCCCAAATTCAGAATCCAGTGTTAAATTTCATGAATAAGCCATACAAGATTAATCATTAAAGCCTTTGTCTGAGAAAGTAGATAGTAAGAAGAGAAAATTAAGTCACGCCAGATTGAAAAGTATTTTTGCCACATAGCAAGCATATAAAGCACTCCGATGGCAACATGCACTCAGAAGTAGGAAAGAGGTTGCGCTAAATTTGTATCAATGTACAAAGGTTTCACAATTCAAGCTTTTAAGAAGAACATTTCATCACCAAGCCCTAATTTAAACTTCTTTCCATTATTCAGTACACT